TTTTCCTGCCCCACACTTCCCAGAAGGATCTGGAAAAGCGTGCAACCCATACCTTTTTTTGAATGCTAAAATGTACATTTTAAGTGTACAGTTCAGTGGCATGAAATATATTCACAGTGGTTTACAACCATCTGCGGAGCTTTTTCAATAATTGAAAGCTCAAATTCTTACAATAACCCCATTCCTCGCTCTTCCAGCAACCACCATTCTGTTTTCTGATTCCTACTATTTTAGTTACTTCCTGAAAGCACAGTCACACAGTGCTTGGCTTTTTGTGACTGGCTGGCTTTACTAAGCAGAATTCTGTCAAAGTTCATCCATATTGTAGACATATGAAAGCCAATTATTTTCATTGCTGTATAATATTCCACTGTATGACTGTATCATGTTTTATCTGTTTGCCTGTCAGTGAACACTTGGTTGTTTGCACATTTTTACAGTTATAAATAATGCTGCTAAGAACATTGGTGTACATGCATCTGATTGTTTTTTCCAGTTGTTTTGGGTATGTACGTAAAAGTGGAATTGTTGGGTCTTATGCTAACCTAACTTTCTAAGGCACTCCAAACTATTGTGTGCAGGAGCTACACCAGTTTACATCCTCATCATAATGCACATGGGTTCCAGCTTCTCTAGATCCTCACTAACATCTACCTTCCTTTTTTTTTTTTTTTTTCCTAAGTAGCCATCCTAAGGCTGGGCATGGTATGTACCTGTAATGTAACCCTGAGGAGGCCACGGGAGGAGGATGATGAGTTTGATGGCAGCCTGGACTACATGGCAAGACTCTTTCTTAACAGGAAAGAAGACGAGCCTTCCAAGGGTGTCTGATTTATATTTCTCTAAAGACTAATGACCACCAGCATCTTTTTACGTGCTTATTAGCCATTGCGTAGCTCTTTGGAAACATGTCAGTTTGAGTCCTGTGCTCATGTTAGGTGTTGGTACTTCCTTGTCCAGTGTTAGCATGGAGTATAGAAATAAGGATTGTTGGAAATTTTAACTGGAGAACTCAAGTGAACACATTAGCAAAGGAAACATTTTGGTTATGCAGCACAGCAAATATTTATTATTATCTTTTTTATTTTTATTTTGGTGATGCCAGGGGTCAAACTCATGACCTCACGCTTGCTAGGTGGGCACTTAGGCCACTTAGCTAAATTCCCAGCCCCAACACAGCAAATATTTAATATGTACTTAGTTCTTTCAGGTTTTTATTTTTGTTTTGTTTTGTTTTTGAGACAGGGTTTCACTATACAGTTCAGGCTGGCCTTGAACTCACAGCAGTGCTCCCACCTCAGACTTCCAAGAGTTGGGATTACAGGCATTCACCTCCACGCCTGGCTATTTCTTTCAGCTCTTACATTTTTTTTTGAAAGATCTGATTTTGAGCATTGTGGGTTTGTTTCAGTGTTACATAGTTAAAATGAGAAAGTTAGAAATACTCAAATACTGGTTTTTATTTGTGTTTATTTTGTATGCCTTCATCTTTTTGGAGGAAGGGAGGATGATGACCTTTCTCCATTTACTAATGTCACCAAATACAAACAAAACAAAAGGCATTTTGTAAAATATTAATTACATCTCAGTAAGCATGACCTAATTCAGAAAGGTGTAAAGTAACAAACTTTTTTTCAATTGCTATTTGTGAATATTTAAGTGAATCAGAATTTACTAGTATATTTTTTTAAAATTTTAAGTGTTCTTTGTTAGAAAAGGGAACAGTTAATACTCATTCCACCCAAAAAAGTTGGTGCAGAATGTAGCTTGTATTTTCTTTCTCTCTTTTTTTAAAATCAGTACCGGGGATCAAACTTATGACCACACACTTGCAAGGCAGGCACTTATGCTGCTGAGCTAAATCCCCAGCCCCCATGTAGCTTGTATTTTCAACTCTGGAAGACAGTATGTGATGTGGTGTTCTTCAAATACATTAACAAAACCACTTAACTACTATGACAGATACTTAAACATTTCCTTCTGTAACAAAAATGTTTGCATTTTTTAAAGTCAGTCTATCCTCCATTAATATTTTATTTTATTTTATTTTATTTTATTTTTTTGTCTTTTTCAGTACCAGGGATCGAACTCACGACTGCCTGCTTGCAAGGCAGGCGCTTATGCCGCTGAGCTAAATTCCCAGCCCCTCCATTAATATTTTAAATGACAAGAGAGGATTTTATAATTTTCTTTCTTTTTTTTTTTTTTTTTTTTTTTTGGTCTTTTTCGTTTTTATCGGTACCAGGGATCAAACTCACGACTGCCTGCTTGCAAGGTAGGCGCTTATGCCGCTGAGCTAAATCCCCAGCCTCCTTTTATAATTTTCTTAAGTAAAACTTTGCATTCAAACAAAGCAGCCCTTATATTTGGAAATTGAAGATGGATGTGGTAGTGCAAGCCTGTAATCCCAACTCTTGGGAGGCTGAGGCAGGAGCATCACTGTGTGTTCAGCTTGGGCTACATAGTGTGTTCAAGGCCAGCCTGAATTATGAGTGAGACCCTGTCTCTAAAAGAAAGATAAAAAAGAAGAAGATACACAAGAAGTGATTGAAAAATACAATATGTATTTAAGTTTTTAAAAACTTATCACAGTGAAAGACAAACTGTTAATCTTCTCAAAATCTTCTACAACTTAGTTACTTTCTTTCATTTTTACAAAATGCCCAGTGCCTAAAATTGGGAAAGGAAAGATTTGTTTAGCTCACAGTTTGTAGAATTTTCAGTATACAATCAGCTGGCTCCAAGGCAGTGCAGTATGGCAGTGGAAGACAGCAAAATCAAGAAGAACAACACAAAAGACTGAGAGAGCCAGCCTTTTTCCCTTCCTCATACTGTACGCAGGCTACCCACCCTAGGGCAGGTGTAGCACTCACACCTGTAATCCCAGCATTGGACCACAGTCAATCACGAACCCTAGAAGCCCACCCCCATGACCACATGAGGCTTTGGGACACCACTGGACACAAACCATAACATTCCCCTCACTCTGATCACACCATTCCCATCATTCTCTCCCCTTTCTGAAGCAGTTCTCCGAGTCCTCTTTGTGTCTTTACAATCAAAGGTAAGTGAAGGCTGTTGCCAGTGTCATCCCGTGGAAAGGCAGCTCAGAGGAGCGTCACCTGTGTTCCTGCCCACCCGATTCCCCAGACCCAGCACCATGGTCTTGTTGGTTTACCCCCGAAGTCAAAATGAACACAAAAGATACATGTTTTGAATGCAATAAGGACATGGGGCAGCTGTGAGAGCACAACTAGAGACGCTCTCGAAGGACTTCAGAGCTGCCCAGAATGTGCCAGGAACGATGGCATGAGTGTGCTTAAAGCAAGCAGCAGTATTTTGAGGGAGGACATGGCAATGTGTCTTTTACTGTACTATATTATAGAAAATTAAATCACCGCCGGGCATGGTGGCACGTGCCCAATATCTCAGCAGGAGAATCACTGAGCTTGGTGCCAGGCTGAGGTACATAGTGAGACCCCATCTCTAAGTAAATAAATAAAAATAGAATAAAATTCACAGCACTGTATGCTTGGATCACATCTTGTGGGGCTCCACCTGAAGGTCAGGGAGCAGGCTCTGTGTTAATCTCCACAGAAAGCCACCTTGTGACACAGACTCAGGGTGTGACCCAGTGGCCAAGGGTCACTGTTCAGGAGTTCGGCTCCTCACCTTTTCTTTTGCATCATTGGCTCCCAGCTGCTCTTCTGCCCTTGCTTCCTTCTCCAGCTTCTCCACACGTAGCTCTCCAAGTGTGACCTTTGGACCCTCAGGGTCAGTACCACAGGAGCTCATGACAAAGAGGGGCCCTCGGGTCTCACTAGAACCCTTGAACGGGAGCCAGAAATGGCTGAGCCCAGGCACCCCAGATGCACTCCAGCAGTTTCAGAGCCAAGCTCACATCTGGAACCACTGGGCCAGGTGGAGTGAGCCGTGTGGGACTCGAAAGCTTGCAGGACTGCAGATGCCTGTGTTGTAGTCTAGCTCTAACCTATGCACCTCTTTCTTGTTCTGTATGCGCCGCATCCCCCTCGCCCCTTTTAGGTTAGGTAAGTTTCCATTTCCTGTAAAAACCTTAAGTTTCAGTCTCTTGTAACCCCCCCCCCAGTCCCCTTCCGCCCATCTGTAATAAAATGTGCTGTTCCTTAAGAAACCTTTAACTACAAGGAAATTACAGGATGTCTTCCTAATCTAAACTTGCTTGTTTACAGGGAAACTTGCTTGTTTGCAGGGTAACTTGCTTGTTTGCGGGATGTGCCTTCCCCCAGAGGATGTTTGCCTAATCTAAACTTGCTTGTTAGCCCAGCCCTTACCTGAACCTTGCTCTTCCCAAGAAATGTAATCGCCGTGTTCCTGTTCTGTAGTGTGCCACAAACCCACCCCCCTCCTTGCATTGTGAGACCAGCAGCTGTTTGTGGTTTTACAAGATAAAAACCCTGCCCTTTAGCTGTCAGGTGTGTGGACTCCCAGAGGCTGCGGCGACAGGCCTGGCCTAAAATAAAGCCTTTGCTCCCTAAATTTTTTTGTTTTGTTTTGTCTTTTTCCTTTTTATTGGTACCGGGGATCGAACTCATGACTGCCTGCTTGCAAGGCAGGCACTTATGCCGCTGAGCTAAATCCCCAGCCCTCTGCTCCCTAAATTTTAATTTCTTGCTTCCTTGGGTTTTATTCAGGGGTCCGAGCTATCACATCTGCAATGATAAATACACCACAGTCTCAAAAGATGTAGATAAAAAAACAAAGTCCAGAAGCTCATGGATAAATGTTTATATTGATTGCACATGGACATCAGATGTGTGAGACACTGGACTCAATAAAATACATGTCAGAATGATTTCACCTGCTTCTATTTATTTATTTATTTTTTAATTTTAAATTTTTATGAGCGCCTGCTTACAAAAGGTGAGCACACATTTTGGGAAGCTGGGGCACACAGGGACCCGCCCAGGGAGGTAGGCACTGCATGTGGCTACCCCAGGTCTGGCAGGGCAGCAGGGCAGCCCTGTGGCCTGGTGGGCCATGCAGGAAACACATGGATAAATAACAGCACTTCCTCTATTATTTTTTTTTCTTTTTTGTCTTTTTGAGACAGGATGTCACCATGCAAATTGACCTTGAGCTCACTTTGTAGCCCAAGCAATGTTTCTCCTGCTTTAGCCTCTCCAGGTGCTGGGATTACAGACATGCACACCATGCCCAGCTTCCTCTATTACTTTGCTATGAGAAGGATTTCAAAAGAGACCAAAACAGCACGATGGGGCACCTGCCTCGCTGGTGTGAAACTCACATGCTCCCAGGCACAGTGCAGTGGGCTGCAGGCCCTCGCGGGTCCCTCCACGCCCCCTGCTCCCCGAAAGGGCGGCTCCAAACGTCAGTGCTGCTGCGGGGGCAGACAGGCACCTGCACAGGGAAATAAGGGGCTTTTTCCTCGGGAATCTTGGCTGGTGAAGTCAGGGAAAGGGCGAGGACGGAGCTCAGCGGCATGAGTATCTGCCTGGCAGTTTGATCCTTGGTACCAAAGCAAAGGAGCAAATCCTGCAGCTGCTGAACACTGCTGTAACTTACTAAGGAACACAGCAGAGCCTGTGGTACTTGGCTGGCTGTGTCACCCTGAGTCACAAACTTTAACCCAGCGGAACCACATCTGCGGGGGACCTGGGCGTGGCTGAGGGGTCACTGAAGCCCACAGACCCTGGGAGGCTGCACCTGGCGGTGCGAAGGGGAAGGCGAGGCAGCCTTGCTGTCTCCACGGAGGAGCTCCAGGCCTCACCTTCGCCTTCAATGTTGTCGCTGGGCTTGCAGCACAGACCCTTTGGCTTCCCGATGGCCCCCCACGCAGGACACTGCCTGGAGCTCAGGCCTCGGCCTGGATTCTTCCCAACTCCTGCGTCCCGCTGCAAGCCGACCTTGTACATTCCTAGAATTCGCATAGCGTGGATTAAATCTGTTTCTCCAGTAAGCACTGACTGCTGCAAAGCCCAAGCATAACAATCAAACAGAAAATGCTGGAGCCCGCCATGGTGGCCTATGCCTGTCACCCCAGAACACAGGGAGGCTAAGGCGGGAGGATTAGGGGTTCAAATCCTACCTGGGTGGCTTAGTGAGATTCTGTCTCAAAATTTAAGAAGAGGAAAGGAACCAGGGATGCTGCTGCATGGCAGGGGACTCTGGACTTGACCCCCAGTAGTGTAAATCAAGTGATAAATAAACTTCCACCTGTGCTTGACCCCAGCAAGCCCCTGGTGAGCTGACACAGGAGTCCCCACAATCATGGCGTGTTCCCCCCCCCAAGGGGCATGTTATACTAAGATGCTGAAAAATTAAAATAGTTGATTAAAAGATAATTAGCAAAAATAGGTTAAAAGGATAGTTATTAGCAGTATTGTCATTCTGTACTGAGCTCCTTATCCTAGTAACCAACCACCAACCACATAATTATAGATTAACTGACCGCATCGTCTCGCTGTTCTGTATGCGTTGTCCCCCAAGTAACCTGTGTGCTATGTTAACCATTGTTCCCTTTATGAGAGACAAATGTTTCTGGAATTGGCAGACCAAGGGCTATGAATGGCTAACCACCTACTGTGAAATGCCTCTGACCTCAAACAAAGGGGAACAAAGGCCCACCTTGTTTCTGTTTCTCATCACTATGTACTTAATGATCAATGAGCTAATCATAAATGAACTATAAAAATCAGTCAAAACTCTAACTCACTTGCACAGCTTTGCAAATTCCATCTGCACTGTGTCACTGGGCCAGCTAAAATAAAAGCGCTTCTTAAAACGATGTCATCTTGCCCTGTCTTTTTTCCATCTCAGGGGCCTTTTTGAGGAAGTACAACAGGGCACAGCCACACGTGACTCAGAGAGCAAGGCTGAGATAAGACCGCATGGCTGCGTGGCAGTGAGGCTGGTACACACAATGGCCTCTGCATGGGGCCCTTGTCACCCTAGGACTGTGTAGTCCTTCTGTGAGCAGCAGTGTGGAAATTGCATACCCATGCTAATAGCAGAGGCTGAGGCAGGAGGATCACTGTGAGTTCCAGAAGTCTGGGCTACACAATGAGTTCAAGGTCAGGCTGAGCTGTGCAGTGAGAGTCTTTCTCAAAAGACAAAAGGAAAGGTAAGATAAAGTGAACATTTTATTGGCTTTAGCACATTCATGATGTCACCCATCCACCTCCCTTTAGTTCCAAATTGTTTCACAATCACAAGAGCATACTGCATGTTGTCCCCTATTTTACTTTTTTCACAGATTTCATACATGCACACACACACACACACACACACACACACACACACAGAAACACACTTGCTAGATAAACTGAGACTTCCCAGGTTCAGCCTGCCATCGCCACATCCAGTGCAATTCCTGAAATTCCCCCGGGGAAGGATGGTAGGGGTGAAGAAATGAAGATGAGTCAGAATGCAAAAAGCGGAGGCCAGGGGAAGGCCCCACTCCTGGAGAAAGGCACTCCCCAACTGTGCAGTCAATCTGTCTGCACCTCGGCAAGAGGCTGGCGACAGGACAGACTCTCTCCTAAGGGAGGAAAGAGCTGCCTAAGGACTTGTCAGCACTCTGTATTCTCAGGGTTGGCCACTCCTCACGTCTCTCCCTTTTCCATCTTGGAGTTACAAGTGACGGGTGGTCAGATGGAGCTGGAAGGGCTCTGTTTGGAGGATTCTGCAAAAGACCTTTATTGTGAAAGGCTTTTCTTCTCCCAGGGGTCCCTGGCCAAACTTTTCCCTGTGAAGGCCTTCACCTTCCTGAATGCTTTCCATTCTGAGTGAACTTATCCATCTAGGCTAAAGATCCCCAGTCCAAGGTGATAGAACTGTGGGGGGAGGATTGGTGGCGGCTGAAAAGATAAGAAGTATGAAATATAAATAACCTTTATTTTGAGAATGCGGGAGAGACACCCCCGACCCCCTGGGGCATGGCATTTCCACCCCGGGGGCCATCAATCTCTCCGTGGAACACGTGAAGTGAGGCACATAAGTAGCCTTGGCTTGGGGTGGAACCTAAGGGGGGCATTAGGGATGCACAGGTAGCCCATTGGTCTTAGTTTGGCGCCAGAGGTAGATTCCTAAGGGTGGGGGAAATAGAAGCTCCTTGGCTTTACCGGCTACAGTATCCAGTCTGGGCCCAAAACCCTTTCATAAGGGTTTCAGGTCCCTGCATTCAGCAATTTAGTCCAAAGCAGCCTGTTAACCTGTAACAGTAGTCAGTTACCAGTGTAAGTGGAAGTTGTTAAAAGGTGTCAGTGAGGTGAGCCTCTTTGATAGCTAGCATATTACTATGGCTTTCTTTTTTTTTTTTTTTTTTTTTTTTTTGTCTTTTTGAGACAGGGTCTCACTATGCAGCTCAAGCTGGCCCTAAGCTCACTTTGTAGCCCAGGTTGGTCTCGAACTTACAGTGATTCTCCTGCCTCAGCCTTCTGAGTGCTAGGGTTACAACACTAACTGTACTATGGCATTTTTTATACATCTTGTGGTTATACTTTTCTGCTGGGTGTTTAAGACCAAATTAAAGTGAGACCTTTGTTAATGAAAATTAATTTCTTGCTATCTATCAAGGTCAGTTAAGTCTCCTTGGGATTTACCTTGGAACCATGGAAGCACCTCTCACTACTCCCTCAGTGTCAGCTGTCTGGATGAGTCATGGCCATGGCTTGACCAAATTGTTCTCTATGAAAGCTTGGGAAACTGTTCTCTCCTGGTAACTCTCCTTAGGCACACTACACACTGTTGATCTCCTTCCTCTGTGTCTAACAATCTCCTTGGTTAGGAGGTTGGGCCCCACCAAGTTAGATGTCACAGCAGAGGTTCTCTTACATCCTGGGGCCATAATACTGATCTTGGAAGGCTGGGGCCAAAATATTGGACACCCTCCTACCCCATCTTTCTTTCTAGTTTCTTATCTCCAAACCTCAGTTGCTGAACAGCCAGAAGAGAAGGTTAATGACATTAATGGGAGCATTGAACTTCATATAATTTTATCTGAATATCAAGCACCTTGAACTACAAAGTGAGCCACTATTTCCCACCACCATGGGTGTTTTAATAGTTGAATCCCTATAGAATATTAACAGGCAACAGTAATACAATTTTATATTGAAATCAAAAGCCATCCATAATATTTTAGCATGACAATATGAAATTTTATAACACATTTAAATTTCCATTTTGGTATAAATTAGCCTTTTTAGTCAGTCTCTACCTGATACATAAGAAGCTCCCACCTGATTTGTTGTCCTTCCACTGATGTCACTGAAGTATGTGCCATTGTCTGGACTGCTTAATATCTAAACATCTCTAAATATAGTGGCACATACACAACATACATACCACATAATGTTTTTGTTAAAATTATTATTGACTGATGACCTCATGTTGGCTTGGCATGAACGTTAGGACACTAGGAGCTGGAACACAAGAGAAAGGCGGGTGTCTGAATCTGAAAGAAAATTCTATCAAGGTCCAAGGATACAGCTCAGTGGCACAGTGCCTTCCTGAATTCAATTACTGGTACAAAAAAAAAAGAAAGAGAAAAAAAGAGAAGTCCACCACCATAAATAATCTCAGTTTTGCATTTTGGAAGATCTGCATATCCAGAAGGTATGAATACATTTAATACACCATGAGATAAAAAAACAATCAATTGTCATAGTCATATGAAGACTTTGGTTCTTGATTTAGTTTTGCAGCAGAGCATCTTTAAATCAGAAAACCTTATTGTTTTATTTCTAGAAAAACTTAACCATTTGATGATGACCAATGTAAACACATCACAATAATATATTTTGAGCAACATTTTTGGAGTACTCTCATAAAGCTATGGCAATAGCTTTGGTTTCCCATTAATGAACAAGAACTGATCTTTCTTATCAACTAGAGTCCTATACAATAGTCCTCCTCACCCTAAGGTATTGTTATTTAATTATCTTAACAAATTTTTCGATGACTGATGAGAACCTGATCACAATGCTCAACACATTATTTTTTGAACAATAAGAGATTCTCAAGCCATAATACATAAACAATAGTATGCATTACATTTCTACAACCAACTTAACATCATTTCCACCAGCTGGCACCTAAGTGGAAGCCCATTTATAATTTTAAGGACATTTATTATACACCAAATCCAAAACTTCAAAGAGCAGAAAAATTTGTTGAGTTCAAATAAAAAAGCTGTTTAGAGATTGGATAAACAAACAAACAGATACATAGACAATCTGCTTACAGAATTAGAGTGCACTCAAATATATTTTTGGCCAAATTATAACTCTTTTATAATTTTAGAAGTTTGTAATTATAAAGAGACTAGTCAGAATTTTTTGCAGTTCAATTAGCAGAGATACCTTGCAGGAAAAATTTGAAACAAAAACCTTTTGTCATATATATATATATGTATAAAATATACATAAAATTTTATTTTGTCTTAAGAATACTGGCTACTTTTGTGTCCCGTTCTTTCACTTAGCCCAATCATTCACTTGCATACACTCTTTTACTTATTCAGAACTTCTTTTCCCATTTTTGGTTATCATCTCCTGGGTACCCTGAGTCAATTTCTTTTCTTTTCTTTTTTTATTTAAAGAGAAAAAAAAATGACATGAAAAAACTTAGCAGTAAAAGGGTACAAGTAATAGAGAATTTCAAGAAAAAAATATACAGTAAGAAATCACCAGTTGATCGGTTACATATTGTCTTCCCAGAAACAGTTGTCCAAATTACAAAATTAAAGCATATAAAGTGGACATTCATACAGTGACATTGTAGACAGTTCCATTCAATGATCCAACAAAAGCTCAGTAATATGGTTTTCCATCCTACACACTCGAACATACCTGTGGTTATATCCCTTAGTCCACCTTCCTTTCCTCTTTTTTACAATAACAATTAGACTCTTGGGCTGGAGGTTTAGCTCAGCGGCATAAGCGCCTGCCTTGCAAGCAGGCAGTCGTGAGTTCGATCCCTGGTACCGATAAAAAGGAAAAAGACAAAAAATAAATAAATAAATAAATAAACAATTAGACTCTTTGGGTTTTACTACTCCCACGGTTCTTATTACTTTTTTTGAAAAGAATAAAACCAAACTAAGCAAAACAGACTAACCAAAACAGAGTCAGAACAGAAGGGTGGGCATAGTACATGATGCAAAAATAGAATACCGGGTGATCAAAAGTGGTTACCATTGTGCCTCTTGCTATTTTTAGATTGAGTTGCATATATCATATTATTAGGTATAATAGAATTGATCAAAACAGTACAGAACAAGACCAATAAAACCTACACTGGAGACCTTATAGGACTTCAAAAAAGGATAATAATCAAATAATAATGGGCATCATATTATATCTTATTGCCTTCAAAGTGGTTGCCTATACCCTCAAACTTGATACTATCAAACAAAATAGAATATATTGGCCCCATGTAGGTTCTAGCTCCATCCTCATCTACTGGCTGTGGTGTGGTCTCTGAGGCATCACTGCCACAGGACCGAGCATCAACTCCTGGAGAGGGGCAATCAACTCCCTCTGTGTGTCTGGCTCCATGACACAGCCAAACAGCAGCTCTTGCACTCATATAGGCCATTCAGGGTTCTCTGCAAAGACATAAGCACACCCTCACCCTCAAGTCAGCACTAGGCTGGGTCCCTTCCATTGTCCATCTCCTGGGTGGACAATATGTAACCGATCAACTGGTGATTTCTTACTGTATATTTTTTTCTTGAAATTCTCTATTACTTGTACCCTTTTACTGCTCAGTTTTTTCATTAAATAAATCATTTTTCTCTTTAAATAAAAAAAAAAAAAGAAAAGAAATTGACTCAGGGTACCCAGGAGATGATAACCAAGGATGAAGATCTTCTTAGCTTCATTTCCTTTACCTGATTTAATTGTCTTTCTGCTGCTTTGGTCCCATCCCTAGTACGATTTTAAAAGTTAATAGTCTATAATGCCATGCAAAGTCTATTTTGAGGGAATGTAAATTTTGTGGGAATGATTCTCCTTTTTGTTTTTGTAATTGAAATTTTGAGCATATGGACAGTACATTTGACCTTGAGGATTATAGGGAATAAGAGAAATGTGGAAAGTCTCACAAAACATTTGGAAAACAGCACTTGTATGGGCTAGGCTATTGTCAGTCTTCAGCACCTACGGGCAGTTAAGGGCACCAAAATCATCTGAGTGGCCAGGGGTTTAGCCCAGTGGCACAGCACTTGCCTGGCAAGCAAAGGGTTGTGAGTTTGATCCCCAGTACAAAAAAAAAAAATCATCCAAGAAATGAGCAATGACAGATTTAGTTGCTGCATCAGTGCAGGTGGAAGCAAAATTAAGTCCTAAGGAAGTATTCACTGAAATCTGGACCCATTATGGAACAGCTTGGGGTCCCGTTTCCGGAGTTAGTATAATCTGGAGAAGGGACGGGGTTCCACTGTCTTTTGTTGCTCACCAGAGGTCAGAAACATGCTTGGCAGTGGACAGTGGGGTGCTGGAGAAATTAGGAAAAGCTCCTCTGCTCCTGGGAAAGTTCCTGGGAAAAGTCACCTCCCACATCAGATTTGGATCTACACCAAATGGCCCAGTGATATCATTGTCTGTATTTTGGACAGACATTAGAAGGGGCAGACAGTCGATATGCTGACAGTCGAAGTGCCGCAGAGCAATTTCAGGCAAAATGTCCTTCACGCCCACAGTGGAAACAAATAACTTATTCCTCTCTTGCCTTCAGGCTACAGATGAATAGCCTGAGTGCCTGCTGCTGCCAAGGCAGCTCCTGCACACACGAGGGGGCAACATCCGCACGAATCTGAATCATCTTAGATAGCACAGCCTGGTTGTTGTTGTTTTTTACGGGTTTGTAAAGCCTCTTTACATCATTTTTTGCATTTTCAAAGGCCAACTGTTGAACAATTAACTTGCCATCCTGTGTTGTTGATAATTCTCTCACTGGTGTGCAATAGACAAGCCACACAATCCTGAAAAGGTTCATCAGGACCCTGGTGAGTGGAGGTCAGATTGAGGGACGTCTCACCCTTTGAAGGAAGTTCCCTCCAACCTCTTGTGGTAGCTACTTAATTTGTTCATATGCTTGCAATTCAAAAGGAAGTTATTTGTGGCTGCAAAGGCACATTCTCAGAACAACATGTCTTTTGTAATGGCCATGTTATGAGCGGCATTATGAGGCATCTGATCCATGCACAAACCAAACAATTTTTCCCTCCACAATGAATAGTCCTCTGGACCCGAACATGCCTTAGCCTTTCCTTTCCAAGCTTTTGTCCCAGGAGCTCTACACAACCCAAGGTAAAAGGGGCTGTGGGGCCACAGGTAGTGGTCGGTAGTTTTAGTCCTTCTATAGTCTTAAAGCGTACAGCTTCAGGAAGACGTACAGCTTGTCCTGGACTCTTGGGATCTTGGAGTTTGGCAACAGGGTAGACATGCTGGAAACCCTCTAAGGATTTCCCTGCCCTCCTGGCTTCTTTTAGTACTCATTGCAAGGGAAGAGAAAGAAGGACTCTCCTCTGTGAAAGGTGGAAGTCTGAGCCTGTTGTAGTAAAATTGTTCTGAACTACTAAAGCAGAAGTAGCTGCTTGTGGCACAGGTAAGGTTGTGGTTTTACTTGGGTGGCTGTGGGATGGAAGTCATGGTGAAACATTCCTGCTGTGGGGAAAGGTCCTCCCCGTCTCCCACAGTTCCTTCCTTGTCTGACTGAGCCAAGCTAGAGGGTTCCAGTTCTACAGTGGGGCTGTTGCTCCACTGTACTTTTTGGCTTGGGACTTAGTTTTCCTTTTTATTGGTACCGGGGATTGAACTCACAACTGCCTGCTTGCAAGGGGACTTAGTTTTAAGATAATGCTCCAAGCCAAATCCTCTGTTTTGTCTCCACAGGCATATGATCATCAAGACACTCCCTGATCCAGGTCCACAAATAAAAGGTAAACACGGGGATACTCTCAAGCCCCTCAGCAAGGTATTGGGCATTCAGTTATGGCCCTCCACACCTCCATGTTTTGGGGTTCACAGTTGTCTGTTCTGGGAATCAGCGATGCATCTCTTGTGCAAAGGCAAGAAATTTTGTTAGTTAAGAAACCTTTACATTTGAACCTTTTGCTTTCAGTAGTACAGCAAATATTTCTAAATACAGCTGTCTTTTTTTTTTGGTACTGGGGATTGAACTTGGGACCTTGTACTTGCCACGTGGGCACTTGTGCTACTGAGCTAAATCCTGTCATTTTTGGGAACCTGTTTGCCCATGTTTTACACCTGGTGGAATCAATACGGATGTTACTCGTGAGCCTGTTTTGTTCTTTTGCTCTCCTGAGCACACACACCAAAATGTCCCCTCACCTACTATATGACATGTTTCCTTGGACCGCCAGTCCCTATTTGGGTGTCAAAATGCCACACCCAGCACAACTCTTGAAATTCCCTGAGGGAAGACCATGGAGGGTGAAGAGATGAAGTCTACAGTCAGAAGGCAGAAAGTGGAAGCCAGGTGGAACACCCACTTTTGATGAAAGAAGGAGCTCCCAGGGCCTGCAGGGGGTTTATCTCTATACTCCGCACGAGGCTGGTAAGAGGAGAAACCTTTTCCTATTGGGGGAGGACCGGCCTAGCAACTGGTTTGCCTGGCTCCCTGGGCACCCTGTTTTCTCACGGCTGGCCTTGCTCTGGTCTCCCCCGAGTGATCCATCTCCAGCTCAGCTGCTACCCACATACCATGAGTTAAGGGACCCTGTGTCCCCTCCTGTTGAGACCGAGAAGCCTTTCTCAACAGGACCCTCACCCTGCACTTCCCTGCACTCTGGAGCACACACATGGGAGGCCAGACCCGGCTGCAGTTTGGCTCCCCTCCCTGCCTGTGACTCAGCTTTTGTCTCTGCTGACCCCACTCTCTCCCCAGGCCTGGCCTCATAGTGCAATTGGCCTTACAGCACCACATCTTTCCAGTCGTGGCTGATTGTCATCAAAACTTCCCGGAAGGACTTGGAGGGTGTTGGGAGCCTGCAGCATGATTTGAGAATTAAGCTGGGCATGGCAGCACACAACTGTCATCTCAGAACATGGGAAGCTGAGGCAGATGGATGGACCTCGACTCTGCCCCCAGCCCTGCAGATGGCCTCTGTGGTCTCCCACCCCATCTTCTCATCAGGAGCCCCAGGCCGGTTCCAGATGGCTCAGGTCTCAGGAGAACTGGCCCCTGCTGCTGGGACACACAGGCTACTTTTGTTTGTGGGTTTAGCCTCCTATCTGCTGTTGTCCTACCCGATGCCCTGAATGTAGAGTTCCTGGTCCTGGTCCAGTCTTGCCTCACCTCCACCAGCCAGGCTGGGTTCTGGACAGGGAGGGTCGACGCCCCACCTCAACAAGGCAGCCAGCTTCCTGGGTACCCGAAGCACCGCCCTGGGCTCTAGTTCCTCCTCACCTCAATGCCTTTGTCAAGCCAGCCTGGCCGAGTGCATCCCCGAGGCTCAGAAGAATTGGCCACCTGCTTCAGTGAGGCCGCCGGTCTATCTGGCTAAGCCGGGGCCGGGTGGCTGCTGGCTGGAACCCGGGGTGCACGGAAAGCAGCACCCTGTCCTGTGGGCCTCCCCAGCACTGTCCTGCTCAGACTGCCTCTGTGCTGTGCACGCCTACATGTGGTGGCAAGAGCCGATGTAGCCTCTGACACCTGCCAGGCCTCCTGGAGGAAACAACAGAAGGCCGAACTCGCTCCCTATAATTTGTTTACATTTTTAAATGTTTTATTGCAAGTGCTGCTCATACAGAGAATGCGCAGCGCACCTGGAGTCCTGCCACCTGCCCAAGAAGGGTTCCAGCATGGTGCTGGTGTCAACCCAGGCTCATGCAAGTGATTGGACATCCTGAGGGAACACGCCACAGGTGCACACATTTTATTTCATGTGGAAGCAGTGCCCAGCAAACGGCACAGAAGGGTAAGTGTCTCAGGCCAGCCCACGTGCTGGCT